GAAATAACTGTATCAGGTATTATTTTTTTTTTGATTGATTTCAATGAGCTTGGTCTCAGTATAGAATCGTGTTTCTTAAAAAAAAAAACAAAGTCTTTTAAGCATGCAAAACCTCTTTTCATGAATTAACCAAATAATTAAAAAAAGACCTGAAAAAATACATTCTTATTGACGAATTAAAGAAGAATTTGACGAGTTGCCGAAAAAGTAAGGTAATCCGACTTGTCACCTCCGCTGTGTCGTAGGAGGGTTAGGATTGGCGGGGGATGCGGGGTGGGGTTGTATATTAATTTTCTCAATTCTTTATTTATTTCGCCCATTATTGTCTATTCTTTATATTTTAGAACCCTATTTTTCTCTATTCTCTATTTTATTATTCTCTATTTTGTAACTGAAACTGGCTTAATTTTTAAAAATGTTTTAAACAGCTACATACAAAAGAAATGCATTCTTGTGTTTAATCGTGTACAGGGTTGCGTTTGTGGTACCGTTTACGACCTGATTAAACACTTTGATAATGGCAGGCATAACATTTTTATCAAATAAAATAGCTGTAGTGTTCCGTGAGATACAAGAGAGAACAACACAAACAACGCGTTTGAAGAATCATCCATCCTCATATCGTATCTCCTGCTTCTTTGTCAACAAAAATCTGAAAACAAGCGTTACGCGTATCGGAAAGCAAGCGTTACCGTCGATTGAATCGGAAAACAAGCGTTCTGAATATACACCGTGCCTAACTATATGAAAAATTACACAATATTACGCTATGCACCTCGAACTCGACATGTAATTTAGAACAATGACTGTAGCCTTTGCCGTCAAGAAGCTTTGAATTGAACTAGTAACTCATCCTATAACTCTACATTTAAATGCAAGTCGATCTCTTGTTCGAACTTTAACTCTATGTTACGATAAATTTTCAAAAATAGCAAAGAAGTTGGGGTTTTATTACAGTGCAATCTGTGAATAAGATAGCAAGTGATACATGTCTGAAAAGCTAGCATTTTTTTATATCTTGTTTTGTATAGAAAACAAATTAGTTAATATGAATTTCCATACAGACCTTGTTTACAGGAAGTATGTGTATGAGTTGTGTAGATTTCACTCAGGGAAAAGATTGAAAGAGATCTAGAGATAAATACATACAATTGAAATTTGAAATAATTTAGGTACAGGATAAACAACTATACAATCTGATCAATTAATTCTCATATTTTGATCATATAGATAATGTAAAATATCAGTTGCTCGATACAATACTAAGTCTTTTAAAATAAGTTATTTGCCCCGGGGAGACATACGATTAGCCATCAATTCTGCGGGCGCATTGCATTTGCACCAATTTTTGAAAAAAAGCAGTATTTCATTTGCGCCGCAGACTTGTATTTCATATGCACCGCAGGTTTGTATTTAACTTGTGCCACAGGGTTGTTTTTCATCTGCGCCGCAGGGTTGTATTTCATTTGCGCCAACAATAAATATCGCTTTTACAGGTAAAATATAACAGAAACGTTTGATACGGTGCTTTCTGTCCGGCATTGCTTTGTGTCGGATAATTTTGCTTTTCGTCCGACACTTTTGCTTTTTGTCCGTTGCTTTCGGTCCGTTTTGCTTTTTGTCCAATAATTTGGTTTTTCGTCTTACACTTTTGCTTTTGGTCCGATTTTATCTTTATGTCCGATTTGAAATGTGAATATTTTTTGTAGTTTCGTAACACCATGACATCTTTGAAATTGAATACAGACTCTATTTTTCGCTATAAATGAGTGGTACATGGAGTATCTGGTTTTTTATAATAGTCTGATCAATATGTTTTGAATTTTCCGCCGGTAAAGCCAAGCATGCATTAAACAACCGTTTACTTAGGTTAAAAATAATTCATTAGAGATATTTAGACGGTCGTTATTATGAGCATTGTAATTCTTCTATCTATAGATTTGATATAGTTTCTCCTGCGAAGAAAGCCACAGAATGCGAAACATAGCGATGCAAATCTGGCTTTAATTGCTATATGATTTACATATCCGACAAGAAGTGTCAATCCGACCTTGACCTCAGTTTCATAGTTCATTGGTCAATTTTAAATATTGGTGGTTAGGTCTGTTTCTCAGATAATGAAAACATTCATAAAAGATACCATGCAGACTTATAACTGTATTCTACAAACTCGCGTTTCCCCTACAAAAGACACATCAGTGACGCTCGATTCAAAGGTAGCAAGTCATTTCTTACCTTGACCATTTCGTACCTCTGCCATTTCGAATCCAAAATTACCATTTCGTACCCAAAATTTACCATTTCGTACCCAACATTTACCATTTCGTACCCATGATCAAAACCATTTCGTATCCTATGGGCCAACTGCATTAACCATTTCGTACCTCATAGACTAAATACATGTTTACTATTTCGTATCAATTCTGGCCAAAGTTGAAGGACTTAAAATAAATAATTGCATGAAATATCAATTTTCCATCTTTTTCACCAAGGCCTTAATTAATTGATTGAGTTGTTTAAGTTACTGATGGAATTTGAATTTCGTTTTCAGTTCAGTAATTTTTGCCTTGGTTATGGTCCTTCAAAAAAGGAACTATGAACATACGGAGATAAAAGTTTTATAATCGATGATTTGCACGCATAAACTATCGATTTCATGTTTGCAAATTTAGAAAATGCGATTAGCGTTTAAAAATTTGACTTTCCAGGGCTTGGGTAAGCTTTTTATTCGGTATGGGGTTTACTCACTATTAAAAGCCTAGCGACAACCGGTTCATTATCATCATAATTTTTATCAAATCAAATCAAAATCAAATCAAATATTTTATTATAGTCTCACCTCTCTACATGTTCAATACAAACATGAATACAATATCTACAGCATGTTTTAATTAAAAGTACAAAACAATCTTAAAAACATTCGAGAGCCACTCTCAAAAGAGTTATGAGAGACTTTTACATAAAAATGGACAAATCGATAAAAATAAAAAACACTTTTTTTTTATCTATATAAAACATTCTTCCTTTACCTTCACTGGATAGTCATTTCATATGCAAATATACCACAACCTTTTAATCAATCCATTGGCTTGTCGAGAAATTTGTGATGTCTTCTGATTTGGTTAGTCAATTAAGAAGTCAAAATCTTCTCTATACGGTATTTGCATGTATACATTGAAATATAAAACATAATAAGAAATCGAAAATTATGAAAAAAGTCTTCATAAAAGAAAAATATATCTGCCTGATGTATAAAAATAAAATTAATACATTTAGAAAAGTGTCTCATGTACCACTTTAAGATGTTTTTTTTTCACATTAAAAGACAAAACGTATAGTCAAATTGGTAAGAAAGGAAAGTGAAATTATATGACATTAAGTGCCTAATGGTGCATGAAAATAACATTCGTTTCCTTTTCCTCTTCTGGTGATTCAAGATAAAATTTGGTTGAAATGCACTAAAAATTAAAAATTAAGGGGAGCTAATTTGCTATCATTCTAACCAAATAGTTATCTAGAGATTTCTCGAATTACCAGACATGTAGAAACATTTCTAACTCAGGATGAGGGTAACTTCAAAATAGGATGGTTAGGTCGGTCGGTTTTTATCGGCCATGTTTTGAAATTCTTCTAAATTGCCTGATTCTTACAAAGACTGGCACTTTGTTTTGAAAGTCTTCTAAATTGCCTGATTCTTACAAAGACTGGCACTTATCAAACAAATCCCTCTCATTGTTTTAATTGATAAAATGTTTGGAATAATTTGTACAAGATACAATACTTTCATGACTACCATCTTTAACAAGGAGAAACAATTTTATCTTTTTTCAATGACCAAATTAAGGTTTTACTTACAAATCTTTTCACTTAAACCTAAAGGTATTATCCTTCTCGTAATGATGCATATAAAACCGTTAATTTGGTTAGCTTACATGTTTTACCTTGCACAAGATTCTAAGTCTTTACAAGTATTTAAGTCATAAATTTCGTTTAAAACTTTTGGGCCTAGAGAGTCAATACTAAGGTTGTGAGTTCAAGCTGATGAGCTCGACTTCAATTCTAATTTACTAGGGTTACTAGTTTTGCTGCAGAAGGTCGATGGTTCTATCACTATGACACACATACACATTTTTGAATCGGACATAAAGCAAAATGATCAGACAAAACGCAAAACGGACCAAAAGCAACGGACACAATACAAAAATGTCGGACCAAAAGCAAAATTATCGGACAAAAAACAAATATGACCGAATGCAACAGACAAAAAGCAAAGCTGTCGGACAAAAAGCAACACAAGACAAAAAGCAAATGTCGGACAAAAGACGCCTTATCAAACGTTCAATATAAGTTGTATCCTGAATACGAGGCTTGTATAGGAAATGTTGGAGTGCCATCCCCCTTTTTTTGGGGTAAGTAAGTGAGTTCATACTCATTTCTCAAACAGAACCTGTTTGAACATGATAGCATTTGTGCCAACCATTATAACATCCGAACTGATGATTTAACTTATATTATTAGTAATTAGATTGGAATGACAATGAAGTTTTATGTTTATATAAGTATTCACCGTGGGAAATATACATCTTTTCCTTACAGAAAAAAGTTTCCGTAAAGACTTAATGAAGTAAATGGCAGATTCACAGCAATAATTATCAAAACCTTAAGAGAAAATATATGTCTTTTCTTGCAGAATAATTTTCACAAAAGATCTATAGATATTATTACAGAAGAAAAATAAAAAATTATAAGGATACATTTCAGTTCAAAAGTAGGAATTTTGTCATACTAACTGAAACAATCTATAATAAAATATATTAATTACCAAAACAAAAGAAAAAAAATACAACAACGATTAAAATTGGGCAAAACGTTTACAAATGAAGGAAAAAGAATAAAAAATTAAATTGGTGTAGTTTTTACATCTAAATGGAGCTGTAATCATGTGGGAGTTAGAGGGAAATTGTCCTTTGCTTTCCTCGAAAAAAATAGTATAACACTTTCCGGGTAAAGAAAAATAAAACTTAAATGAAGGAAATTCCTCTTCATTTATAGATTTATATTTGCCAAGTTTTATATGGAGCACAAGTGATAATGGTTAAAACAAAACTGTTTATCATATTGTGTTGGTTCCAAAATCTGTTGCATGCTGATAATGGTAAGTAATACAAGTGGTCATATCTTTCATACAATATAAATATCGATGATGATGATGATAATAATAATAATGGATGGCTGTTTAACGTATAGTGGCAAATTAAATGCATATTCAGGAGAGGTACGTGTTAATGAAAAATGATTGATTAATTTGCGTTTTAACGCAACTTTCAGCACTAATGTGCAATTTCGTGGCGATCAGTTTTTATTGTTGGAGGAAGCCGCAGCGCCCGGAGAGAACAACCGACCTTCGGTATGAAAACTGACAATCCTAGTCAATTAAGATTGAGTTCAGCGCACCTGCCACTTGCGGGATTCGAATTCACAACCTCAGTTTTAACAGGCTAGGGATACAGTAGTTCGACTAATTAGACCATTCAGCCACCGTGGCCCCCTAATGTAAAATGAATATTAATCCTGCTTTGTACAAGCACGACATACTGAGCCGAATTTTTAGCGCGCTAGTTTCTTTGATTTTCTTTTCTTGTGTCCGATTACCCTTTTTTTTTGGTTGGGTAAAAATAACAATTTCGAAAAAAATATTCTTAATTTTTTATAAAATGTGAAAATAAGTAATACATTCAAGCGCCAAATATATTTCCTCGTTTGAAAATTCCGTCATGCATTTGCAGAGACGTCAAAAATGTATGTTGCAATGTCCCCGATACGTCTTTAAAATTAAATTTTAATTTTGAAATAGTTCATCGTTAGTGATTTCTTGTCAAATTGTCAAATGCATGAATATAACACCATTAAACGTAGAAATGTTATATTATTATAATACTGGATGGAGTTATTACGTCAAGAAATATTATTCATGCATACAAATAATTTTATATAAAACGTTTCAAGCTTTAGAAATGATTTGTAGAAATGTGTTTTCCAAGGCTCCGTGTTGAAGGCCGTACTTTGACCTATAATGGTTTACTTTTACAAATTGTGACTTGGATGGAGAGTTGTCTCATTGACACTCATACCACATCTTCTTATATCTACTGACTGTTGCTCACTGTTGTTTAGAAAATTTCAGTTAATTTATTTGTTGCAACAAAAAAAAAGCATTTCCCCTCTTGACTGGCCTAATAATATGTAGTTCACTTCATTTGAAAATTGGATAGACCATATTTATTATGAAACTAACCAAAACATACGCTACACCATGCTGTTTCCAGTTTTCCTTGATAATCTATTGTTTACCTAACTAATGGAAATTGCGGTTGCCATATTTTGCTTGGTGATGCGGGGTTGGTTTAAAACACGAACTTGACGTACAATATCTGTTCCTTTTACTTTTTTTTTATCTAAAAGAAAATTCAACTACCCAGTTACTTCCATTTTGAAATTTTTTTACGATCAATATCATTTATAATAGAACATTTTCAACACATTTCAAAGAGAAATCAAAACACAATCCGTAACCATTTCCATGACTGCGGAATGCTATACAAAACTGCAAATAAATCATCCTCCTTAAACAAACCCTCAATAATATAAAAATAAGAAGAGGAATGAATGCTAACGACACAACTATTCCCCAGAGACCAAATGACGTAGATATAGGTCAGCTTACATCCTTCAACCATAAGTGAAACCCATACCGCATAGCGAGATATAAATCCCGACATGACAAAATGCAAAGCAATTCAAACGAGAAAAACCAAAAGCTCGATTTATGTACTAAACCATAAGGTTTAACAATAAACAAACATGATACACAGCAACAAACGACAACCACTGAATTACAGGCTCCTGACTTGGGACAAACTCTTACAGAATGCAGCGGGATTAAACATTTTTAGGAGCGTTCAACTCACTTTTAACCTGGGACAGCGATGTAACAGCACACCATAAGAACAAACTGTAGAAATTTGAAAAGGGATTGATTCATCAGAACGACACGAAGCACATCAAAAAACAACAAAAAAGACCCAAGACTGTATGTACTTGCATTTACTGAAAGACAATACATGTAACAACTAAACAATCATGTATTAAAGACAAAATATCAATGAGTACACATCAAATGAATTTAGTGTAAAGACAGAGTGTACAGTCTGAGAAAAAAACATGTGCATTGTGCATTGTGCAATGGCAAAATACAAGTATCGACAGGATGTAAGACCGTCAGTGTTCTATAACTAGAAAGGATAGACATGCATTAATATTGATTTTTCACTGAGGGTTAGCCCAAAAGGCTTTATGCTAAATATTTTACCACGAGAGGTAGCGATAGATGATGTATTGGATATATATTATTCAAATGAAAGAGAGTCCTATGTTATTTATTTTCTTTTTCGATTTTTTGGTGTTGATGGTACACAAAGATTTGGAGTGAACATCAAGGAGACATTGACAGTCTCCTTCCATTCTAAAATTACATATTGATCTTTGAATTTTCATAAATCTTATGATATTTTATATGTGTACGCTGAAAGGAAGTTCAATCATTATATATAATCAATAAGTAAATAGTTCCTTGTTTATGAGATGAGTAACCCATTTAAAACAATTCAACATCTGTGTTTTAGTTATTTAGGTACAAAACACTTTAACTTAACAATGAAATCACGTTTTACGTACATCCATGATTTCCCGTTGTTGGCCGTTGTTATACAGCCACAAACTAACAAAAAAAAAAAATTTTTAACGTATAAGAATTGAATATAATATCAATGTATGAGTATTTAAAAACACACAAATATATTCAATAAAATCAATTGTAGCAATGGTGAATGATGGAGCAGGTTTCGATAGGTTGTTGAATTGTCTTTGTAACAATAGCGATGCTACAAAAACAGATTTCCCAGAAAATTGTACTACAGAAAAAGGAATATATGGTAAAATAATGAAAATGTAGGAAATGGTTGGTTTATGGATTGGTGAATGTATGGATTTGTTAGTGTATTGAATGGTGAGTGTATGGGTTGGTGAATGAACGGAATGGTGAGTGTATGGAATGGTTAGTGTATGGAATGGTGATGAATACAATGGTGAATGCATGGAATAAAGAATGTATGAAATGGTGAATGCATGTAACGCTGAGTGTATGGAATGGTGAGTTTATAATATGATGAGTGTATGGAATGGTTATAAGTGTATGGAATGGTTAGTGTATGGAATGGTGATGTATGCAATGGTCATGCATAGAATGATGATTGCTTGAATTGATGTATGCATGGAATGGTTAGTGTATTGAATGGCGAATGCATGATATCGAGAGTGTAGCAATGGTCAATGATGTTTTAATAGGTTGTTTAAGTGTCTTTGTAACATTAGCGATGCTACAAAAACAGATTTGCAAGAAAATTGTACTACCGAAAAAGGGATACATGGTAAATTAATCAAAATGTAGGAAATGGTTAATGTATGGATTCGTGAATACATGAAATGGTTAGTGTATGGAATGGTGAGTATATAGAATGGTTAGTGTATGTAATGGTGATGTATGCAATGTTGAACGCATGGAATGATGAATGTATGAAATGGTGAATTCATGGAATAGTTAGTGTATGGAACGGTGAATGCATGGAATGGTGAGTATTTGGTATGATAATTGTATGGAATGATGAGTGTATGGATTGATGATTGTATGGAATGGTAAGGGCATGGAATGGTAAGTGTATGGAATGGTGATGTATAACATGGTGAATTCATGGAATGGTTAGTGTATGGAATGGGGAATAAATGGAATGTTGAGTGTATGGACGTGTGACTGTATGGAATGGTGAATGCATGGAATGGTGACTGTTTGGAATGGTGAATGCATGAAGTTGTGAGTGTATGGTATGATAAGTGTATGGAATGTTGAGTGTATGGATTGATGATTGTATGGAATGGTAAGTGCATGGAATGGTAAATGTATGGAATGGTGATGTATAAAATGGTGAATTCATGGAATGGTGAGTGTCTGGAACGGGGAATGAATGAAATGGTGAGTACATTAGTGTATGAAATGATGAATGCATTGAATTGTGAGTTCAGGGAATATTGAGTGTATGGAATGGTGAGTATATGAAATGGTGAATGATGAGTGTACGGTATGATGCGTGTATTTGAATGGTAAATACACGGAATGGTGAGTGTATGAAATAGTGAATATATTGTTTGAATAGAAAGTTATAGAATGCTGAGTGTATGGAATGAAGAGATCATAGAATGGTAAGTATATAGAATTGTTAATGTATGGAGAAATAGTGATTAAACGAATTAATAGGTGTATGGAATGGTTAGTGGACGAAACGGTAAATGAATAGGTGTGATGATTCGTAGGTTTGTGGAATGGTTTGTGTGTGGAATGGTCAGTGTGTGGAATGGTCAGTGCATGGAAAGGTAAGTGTGTGGAAACATACGTATGTGGAATGGTGAATGCATGGAATTGTAAGTTGATGTAGTGGTAAGTGTTTGGGGTGGTAAGTGTTTGGAATGGTGAGTGCATGGTATTGTAAGTGTATTGAATGGTAAATACTAAAGTATATGGAATGATGAGTGCATGAAATAGTAAGTGGATTTTGAAGTGTATGAAATGGTTAGTGTATGGAATGATAAGTGTATGGAATTTCTTCAGTTTTTAGATAACGGCATAAGGAGTGTTATACCGGTTTGAATGGTGCATTAAGTAATTTAAATTAAAATGCATCCCGCACATAAATAAAATTTTTGCATGGAAAATTTGATAATTTCAGTAAAAATTTGCATGGGCAAAAATGGTCATTACCAAGGTGGCGAGAGAATCCGATTTTCTACCGGCTTAAGTGGACAAATCAATAGTTTGTCTTAAGTAGAAAACACAATAGAGTCTCTACTCAGGTAGTTATACTGACTATAAATTATTTCGAAACATCAATTGTAGACATTTTTATCGTTCGTAATTTTAACAACAACTCTGTAAAAGTTAACATGGTGTACCAAGATGTCCCCTTCGCAACGATTTTTTAAGGCTCTACCATGCTAAAAAAATTAGAATTTAAAGGTATTGTCTCTTCAAGAATCTGAGAAAATAAATGATTTTATACTTAACTAATTGATTTGCAAGTTTAACTACTAGAAAATATTACAAGCCATTTTTGAAATATTCACAAATGTCCACTGCGTAACGATATACGTCCCGTATGAAACGTTTTGTGTCCACTTTGCAATGTAATGTTGCGTAGTGGACCGTTGCGCAGTGGACGTATTTACATGTTATCAGCCATTGTTGTTACACGCGGTTTCTCAGATACATGTTTTGATGATTATTGTCTTAGATAGTACATTTTATTTTATAAACTCCACGTTTTTTATGATTTGAGGTCAACATTTCTTCAAAAAGACGTTGCAAAGTGGACAAGTAAAAAAGTACGCTATCAATAGGACTTGCCAATTGATTCAATGCAGACGAACTATATCATCAGCATCCATGGATGACCGCCATTTTACTAAATGAAGTTGTATTAGTGAGAAGTAAAAGGAAAGACTACAATTTAAATAACAGAATGATTATAATTTTGCTAAATGTTTGTTGTCGTTGCGAAGTGGACATTTTTTATGGATGCCACTTAAAAAGTTATTAGCACAAATCTATTTGAACTTATCTATATATTTAAATACTTTTTGTAATGTTCAGATATATCTCTATGACAAAACATTGAAAAAGGTGCAAAAAAAGATGGGTAAATTGTATGAAATTTTGAAATTTGAATAAACTTTCAAATATGGACAGAGCGTTTTTGCTGTTTTTGAGCCCTTTGGTCTGATATTTTCAGAGAGTCCTTACCTCAAAGCAGACAAAAAGTGATGTCTTTGTCTTTAATAAGTACAATTTATAGACTGAGACAAAAAAAAAATTAAAAAAAAATATATATATATATAACGTGAGGGTACCCAAATTGCACCTATTTTGACAGTTTTTTGCCTATGTTTATTTATGATCCAGACAAAAATGTCCATTCTGTGTTTTAGTTTGTAGATGTATCCTTATTTACTATATAGTTCCACCAATTTAATTTTGAATCCATATTGAATCATAGAAAATGGGTTTGAACCGACCTCCAAACAATCCATGATTCTGTAATGAGGAGTACCCAAATTGCATCCATGCATTAATTCACATCCTTAAAAATCGAATAATAGATGTTTTGTTATATTTCTTCAAATACTTAGAACAATTTGACATTTGTACATGCTTACTATTCATTTTTTAAGAAATGGATGCTCGTAACATATTTTATTTGCTCATTTTTAAAAGATGACTTTTTGTGAACGTCGCATTGCGACGTTTCCGTAGATTTAACTTTTTCCAATGAATACTTCATCTGTTGATATATACTGTGAACGTTTTGTGAATATTTAAATATATTTACCTATTTGAAAGACGAGCATAATGTCAAATAATAAAAAAATACAAATTGTTTAGTCCCTAAGAAAACTTGTAAGATTTTCGCTGCTATTTTTGCTAAATAGGTGCAATTTGGGTACTCGGTGCAATTTGAGTACTGTGACGTTATATGATTTAAACACAATTTAAGCCCTTGACAGAGAAAGTTGACACTTTTTGAAAAAAGCCCACATAACTCTTTTGGAACTGTTTTTTTTTTGTGTAAGGAGCACGTACCTGTTAATCAAGTTCAAATAGTGTGAATATGCATGAGCGTAACGTATTAACTGAGATATGTAAACGCCATACGCTGGGACAAAGGGTATGCTACTGCTTAGAAAAAGTTAACAAATTGAAAGTTGTAATCATCAAGTTTTTCATAGACTCTATTGTGAAGTCGTCCATCTTTTTCAAAAAGAGAGGCGAATGATACCAAAGGGACATTCAAACTCATAAGTCGAAAATAAACTGACAACGCCATGGAAAAATAAGAAACAGACCAACAGACAAACAACAGTATATAAAACACAACATAGAAAACTAAAGACTGACCAACACTAATCCCACCAAAAACTGGGGGTGATCTCAGGTGCTCCGGAAGGGTGGCAGATCCTGCTCCACAGGAAAATATCAAATGTTTAAGGGTAAGTAACATTCTGCTTTTATGGATATTGTCAAATTGTTTAAAAGTATTCAAACAAATAAATGGAAATGTTGGGTAGTAGTCAATGTGACAGCAACCAAACGACAAAAAATATGACTAGAGGTCAACATATGGCTTTCAATAATAGAAAAATGTCTGCACACTATGTTAAGATCTAAATCGCTCCATTTCTAGACGTTTAAATATATATCTTTTAAGACTGTATTATTCTAATTTCATGAGGTTTCACCAACTACCTTAAACTGACTGTATTTGAAACAAATTTACCATATCACGAACGGGACAATAGCGACAGTAAAATTAGTGTAAAAATGAGATCGCTTTAGACTTCATTTAATTTTGGGTTCCAGTGGCAGTATGAGTTGTACATAAATAAATTGAACATGTTATTTACAGGTCAATACTTATGTAATTTGATGGAAACAGAGTCAAAAGAGAGTATCCTTAATGATTGTCCGTCTACAAAAAAGACGTTTTGTGAAGGTGACAAAATGATAAATCAGCGAAGACATTACAACAAAACATTGTGTATGGATGCACTGATGAAATGCAAGGGTAAATATCAATAACATAGCTTCACAATAGTAACTTGTTAGTTGAATAAGACAATGAGGGTTGGAATTAAAGAAAACGTTCCGTGCCGTATGGTTTATGTGTGGTTCTACAATACGCATATTGTCGAGTTTAACTCAATTATTGATGAACCATTGCAAAAAAAACCACGACATATGGTAAAGTATATATCAATATATCCCGCAGGATTATAAAAAGCCGAATAATGAAACTGATGCTGATAGAGGATTGTGTTTCCGAAATATTTATTGATTTTTGTATTTGTTAATATCCTATTTTAAAGTTTTTTCTACGTTTATATACTAACTCTGAATTCAAACTAGTAATGTTACATTTGCAAAATTGCGAAAGCAAATTTTTGTTCTTCTAATAGCGAGAATATATATGATCTACCAAATTAGACTTATCACCTGTTTTGTACTTACATGAGCTACACGACGGTTGCCACATGTGGAGCAAGATCTGCTTACTTTTCCGGAGCACCTGAGATCCCCACCGGTTTTTGTTGGGGTTCGTGTAGCTCAGTCTTTAGTGTTTCTTTGGTTTTCTATGTTGTGCTTTGTGTACTGTTGTTTGTCTTTTCGTGGTTTTCCGATTTTGCCATGGCATTATCAGTTTGTTTTCGACTTATGAGTTTGAATGCCCCTTTGATATATTTCGCCTCTTTTTTTTAATCCCATGCTAGTTTTTTCTGCTTACAGAGATATATCCCGCTGGACAATGTGTAGGTGGTGTTGCCTTGCCTTTATAGAAGTATTGGATTAAAATTTCGATGAGGGAAGAACAAAAATACAATACTTAACTAATACAACGACTGAAAGCGCTAGAAGTATTTACTATGTATTTTTTGTGCTTTTTTCATATTTTATTATATTCAATTATATAGACGTCTGTGTGTGTGTGTGTGTGTGTGTGTGACTCTGGAAGAGTAGAAACAATATCCCTTTTAGTGATCCAAACGCTCTTGGAAAATAGCTGTGATATGATTTGTAAAACACCAAATCATTCCTAAATAGACCAGAAAAAACACTATTCAGCCATGAAAAAATGTTCAATATCTTCTTCCTTCTCTATAAAGTTTGAAAATTGTATGTATACAGGGGGACGAAAAGGGGATAAAATTAAAAAAAGTAGTACTGTAAGAAAAAACAAGGAAAAAGAAGATAAACAAAGGACAGCAGAAAAACAGAGGACAACAGAAAAAGGTAACTAATTTAAAATATTTCGTAACAAAGAGAGATAGATTTGTCGAGCTCTAACAAAGTATTCCACTAGGTTCTTAAAAAATTGTCAATAATTGATAATATATGAATAACGAAACTAAAAAAAGCAGAAATAAATTAAAGGTCTGTGTTTTTGATTTTGAGATATATAAAGATATAAGAAATAAGCCATTGAAAATTTGGCGGGAAATGATTATCTTTAAATTTTTCAAATATTTAACATTGACACCTTTTTCATTAAAAACAATGAAAAAGTAACTAGGATTTCATAAGATTTTCATAAATAGCTTTTTAAACTACATTGTATATGAAATAAAATTATGAAAAGAAGAAAATACGAGTGCATACGATGATATTGTTGGATCACCTCAAGTCAAAAGATCAAATGTTATCTAGCTATCCATTATAGATTGATTGGTTGATTGATTAGCATTTAACGCAAATTTCAGCACTATTTACAATTTTGCGGTGGTCAGTTTTTATTGGTGGAGGAAGCCGGAGTACCCGGGGAGAACCGTCGACCTTCGACAGGAAAACTGACAATCCTAGTCAATTAAGATTGGAGCCGAATGCACTTGCCAAGTGAAGGGTTCGAACTCAAAACCTCAGTGTTGACAGGCTAGTGATGCAGTAGTTGGACTACTTAGACCACTCGGCCACCGAGGCCTCCAAATCAATCCATCATAGATAATTTTATCATAATTATTTATCTGGGGAGAAGTTTTCGATTAAAATAAGATACGAGCAATTAGGCCAACCAACAAGATTTTTGAATCACATCAACGTATTATAATTGTGTCTCTTTCGGTTATATCATTATTTAGATATAAGGTTATATGATTTACCAAACAAACGTAAAAAAGAAGACATTTTCGGTAGCTTTTTATGTATTTTCTTTAATACATTAATACACTTCATTACTTGCACATTTATTCTTTACAAAACATCTAAAAAGTAAAATAACAAAAATACCAAACTCGAAGGGAAATTCAAAACGGAAAGTCCTTTGTAAAATGGCAAAATCAAAAGATCAAATACAGCTATCGAATGGAAAACAACTGTCATATTGATCTTTCTTGATAAGTTCACAAAACTTGATGATTGCCCATCCATTTTTTTTTAAAAAGAAACCACAAATAATTCATAAGGATTATATAAGATTTTCAAAAATGGCTTTTTAAATTATATGTAATAAAATTATGAAAATAAAGTATGGGTTAACGAGCAAAATCTTTAATGGCTCCACATAGATATAAAACCAGAGGATTGCGAATATCTGACAAAAAGTTAAAAAAAAAAACAAGATAAGCGAACATCCTTAATTCCTCTGCCCAGAACATTTTCGTTTCCTCTGTTGCTTTTGATATACACTTGTTCAACATTACTACGTATACATCAGGAACTCATATTAAGCTGCACTCATTGAGGTCCTTATATTCCACATATCTATCATGCACAATGAATCAAGGTTATCATGTAGGAGATACATGTATGAAAATAAGCAGATGTGTTATAATTGCCAATGAGACAACTCTCCACCAGAGACCAAATAACATAGAAGTTTACAACTATAGGACACCGTACGGGCTTCAACAATGAGCAAAACCCATACCATATATTAAGCTATAAAAGGCCTCGAAATGACAAATGTAAAACAATTCAAACGAATGGCCTGATTAATATACAAAACAATAAACGAAAAACAAATATGATATACAGCAACAAACGACAACTACTGAATTACAGGCTCCTGACTTGGGACATGCACATACAAAATATGACCGGGTTGAACTAGTTTGCCAAACCCTCGCCCTAACCTGAGGCAGTGGTGTAGCAGTACAACATAAGAACAAATTATAAAAATCAGTTGAAAAGGGCTTAACTCATCAGATCGATACAAAGCAGAAAAACAACTAACACAAACACAGACCGGACGTGGCAGAGTATCTACACATTCCCATAACAAAAAAGACACTAAGTACAGATCTGACAGTACTCGCAGGTCCGTTTTAAATTACTTTTTTTTCTAACATTGGCAAATAAGAATCAGAAGGGTAAACGCTTTGCTAACAAATAACAGTTTGAAGGGTGTTCGGAAATGCGGCGAATCTCTATTTGTTCTTGCAGATTCAGAAAATTCCGATATTACTACAATTATTGATAAAACTACATACAATGGAAAAGAAAATGACGGATGGAATAAAAGAAAGGACAAATGGGACAGAAAATACAAATGGCGCAGAAAAGACAGAAACAAACGTAATTTAAAGAAATTAACTGTATATGAATAAAGAAATAGATCCTTTAAAAGGTCAAATTCAATTGGACAGAAACCAAACACCACAATAAACCTGTCATAAAAAAGAGTACATAGGTAATTATTCGGTTTTCAAGAATTGACAAGTCATTTTTTTGTTTTTTGCTTTGACTAACTTATGAAAAAAAAAAATCAAAACAACACTTTTTAAATTTCAAGCGTCCTTTATCAGGAACACTCAAAGCCTAATATTTGAAAGCCAAGGATGTATAAGAACTGAAACAATTGAACAGCCATATGACCAAAACGGACATAAAAATAATAGCCAAATCTGTCAAAGGTCAAATTTGTCTGAAAGAGTTATGAACTTTTGATATATGTATCCTTGCTGAAAACTTTTTAGTAATGAAAATATAACATTCATTGCAATACGCAACGTCAATGCAAACCTATTATATGGGTATTGAAACAACACATGAACTTTCTTTACGAAAGAGCCAGACGGATATCACCATTGAGTATTATGAACCCTTATGTTGTTTTAATTAAACGCATATGGGAGTCTTATAGAAAATCCACAACCTTTCCCTTTGTACTCTTATTTTTGACAATTCGGTACTTAATCGTAAGAGGATTTCTACATATAATGTTTACAATGATTTTCCTAAACGAAGTTTTTAAATATAGATATTAGTTTAAACAACAACAAAATATTGATATATATATTTATTACATTACTAGATACATTCTAGGATTGTAAAGTTTATTTTATTTTTTTTTGTAAATAATAAACTGTAGCAAAACAAGAATAAACAAATCAGTAATCTATTTTTAAAATGTTATAACGAAAATCTCTGTCATCAAATCAGTGGTTTTTCAGTAAAATATCTTGGCTTGATTTGTCACAAATTCACCGTTTTTCATAAAATGCAATGACACCTTATATATCATTGCTTAGAACGACGTTTCTGTTTGGTATAAGTACAAAATGGTACGTATCTTTTATTCAGTATCGTTGCTGCTTTAGTATTATTGCGCTACGTAATTTTGTAATAAACAGGCATAAAGAAGGTGTCAGTAACCTTAAAAGAAAGAAAATACACAATTGGGAAGGAAAAGCATTCATCAACTTACCGTTACCAATTTCTGTTTAAAATTAAAACGGCTAGTGTTAACATTGGATTGAGTAAGAGTAATGCCAAAAAAACAGTGACCGTTTTGTGTATTTTATTTCTTTAAAGGTTATTGACACCTTCTATAGGCCTGTTTATTACGAAATTTCATTTGTCAGTGGTTTTGCATAAAAGAAAAGCATATATGTATTGATTCAAATGTCAGGATTTTATGAAATATAAGTTTGAATGCTTTCTGAGCTTTTTGGTTCATATTATCCTGACACGCACTGACTATTCTCCCATTTTATAGACGTCTTTTTGCTCATATCAGTTTTCTACAATTTGCGGTTAAATTAAAAAATAACATCATATCATGTAAGTACTATATTTTTAATATAGTGCTTCCCTGGTCAAACAATTCTTTTAATATATTTTCTTTGAAATTACATTTGATTTACATACATACATGTACACATGCAAACATCAATATAGTTTATGAATGGTTTTTATCTTTTACAGAATTTTTTAAAGTTGGAGCGATAGTTGGTATCTCAGTTGGAGTTACATGCACTATCATATTAGTTCTAGTTATACTGGCTATTATTTTCGTATGCAGACGAAGGTAAATCTATTTTCGTTTGTAACACCACATTTAAATATACCAGTGAAAAATTTGCTTTTGAAAAGAGAGGCGGAAGATTCCAAAGGAATATTAAATTATCGAAAACGAATGGACAATGCCATGGAAAAAATAAAACGACCAAAAGACAAACAGCATTCTACAAAACAAAACACAGAAAACTAAAGAATGGGCAGCACAAACCACCAAAATCGGTGGTGATCTCAGATGCACCGAAAGGATACGCAGATCCTGCTCTACATGTGGCACTCGTCGTGTTGCTCATGTAAGTGCAAATTTGGTGATGTCTAATTATGAAGATCACATTTGAGGAAAAATGGGCAGGATTGAGATTACGACAATTGAAACATATCTGTCGTCATCTGTGAAACATCTGGAATGTTTCTACATAGAAAAGATAAGTTTACAATTGGAAAGCTGAAATCATCATTTCTTTTGTCGTAAAGTTTTGTTCTCAACCGACCCTCATTGTTCATTTCTAGATGTTAGTCATGATATGAGGTAGACTTAACTCTATCTGTTGTATCCTTTATTTCAAGCTCGATGGAATAGATGCGTAATACATAATCACACTACTTTGAATAATTTAGTTAGAGGACATCATGTATATAGTGGAACGTGAAGTTAAAGGATAATTCTAACTTCTTTTCATTTATCACAAGAAGCTACCTCATGAAGCCTGTCTCTTATGAACATCAGAACAAGTCGACAAGGAGAGGAGTACAGATGGTTGTACTCTTGGACACTCGCTGTCAAGGACGACAGCACGATTTTTTTTTATAATTTTTCATAATTGATTGACAGTTGATACTTTAAAATATCAGTTGTGAGACACAATATGAAGCTTTTTGTTGAGTAAGCGGAGCGAATGAGTTCAAAAGGGCTTAATATTGTGTGCAGACAATCATATTTTACGATATCAATATGATGAAAATCTATATTTGGAATAAAAAAAACCAATAAATTTGTTTTACCAGCATACATAATTTCGGGTCAAACTTACTAATGTAAGGTTAGGTTTAATTACTGACATATGACATGAGCGGAGCAGAGTAGTACAGTCGGATGAGAAACCGATAAATAATCGTTCCCGTAAACCCAAAGAAAGACTATCAAAAAGTACAACGTGGTGCATCATCTTTAATCTTATAGTTAACTTCGAATGGTATTTTTGAAATTGGCATGTAATACATAGGAAGAAAGAAATTAATGATTGTGCTACTTTTTTTATAGTTAGAAAAGAGAATAGAAAATTTTTGAAATTATTGAAACAGTTGTCCTTAGTTCTCATCATTTGTTTTTCATACCATCTTCTTAAAAATAGGAAAACAAATAATGTTCAAATGTAACAAAAGACACTTAAGTAAATAACAACCTTTCGGAAGTAAATGTTTGATCTTTAAGAAAAAAATCTAGTTGTAATATACATCAAAATGTGGATATTTATGGAAAACAGTCAATGATAAGATTTTAAATAGGATGTCACGGCATTTTCTTCACAAACATTCGTATGCTTTCATAGTTACATACCTTTCAAAACGTAAAAAGTAAATATTTTTTTGCCTTTTTTCTTATTCTCAATTATTAGAAATATTTTATTTACAGATCAAAGAAAAAGAAGAGAAAACAACTAACAAGACTACAGTCTATCGACCAAAGATTTGAGATGGCAAATCTTGAAAGTAGCCCATCCAGAACAAACAAGGGAGAATACACTATTCTTTCTACGAACAAATCTTTAAATACTGACGAGGCACAAGGCGAGTGCTTTGTCCTCGATCCCTTCACGAAGTATGATAAAGACTTGAGCAACCGGAAATTACCAGAAATTAAAAGATTCAGTGGTGCAGAGGGTGACGAGAATGTTTACTATGAAATTGATGAAGATAAAATCGAATCCTCGACAGATATGGAGGGAGTTCACCAGAAGAAAATAGAAGTTAGGGATCAAGGTTCTCACCATAGTGATTTGACCATAAATCAAACACAGTTAGGGTATGTCAATTCATATTTTTGCGTTTGAATTGTTTTACGTTTTATTATGTCGGGGTCTTTTACAGCTTGCTATACTGTGGCCGTTTTGCTCATTGTTGAAGGGCGTACGTTAACCTATAGTTGCTAATATCTTCGTCACTAGATTTATGGTAGATATTTGTCTCATTGCAATCAAAACACATCACTTTATATTACATTCGTATTGTGTTGAGCAGCAAATATTCTTCAATATCCATATGACAGAAATCTGATTATTTATTTATCGGAGCATACTTATTTTTTTCATGATGGAAACAATTGTTTTTTTGTTTGTTTTCCAGCAAACGAGAATATGATGTCGGGTCAATCATTAAGGCCCGGAGATAAATCCGAGTCAAATTTGTTGACGTCTGGTCTTGCTTGTTTCACGTGTCAAAGCTGTATTATATAATTTTAAGAGCTGAGCAGAGTGAAAGAGTCAGAGGGAAGACCAATAAATAAAAGCTTGCGACGAACTGCAAGAACAAAATGCTGAAAAGTACAATATGCTTACCAATAATAAAATAATTCACTTTTAAAAATGTTTAAGGTGACAACAAATGGAAGTTTTTAAAGACCTTGACTGGCTATACAGCCCTTGCACGGTCGGCCCTGGCTTGCGCCTTTTTGGGCATTAAATAATTTAATTTTTACCGGCGTTGCGTGAAAAACTTTGGTAGAAAGATATAAATGAATGTGTTACGATTTCTAAAGTTAAAAAGCAGAATAAGAAATTAAGGAGATTATCGAAACAATTCTTCTTATTTTTGTTTATATATCATTTATTGTAAACAATCTACTTACGTTATTATCAAAAAATTACAGCCACAAATTAACATTAAATTGAAATAATTTTTTTTAGAAAGTATCATCTTTTTATTATAAATATTGTTTGATATTTCTTGTCTGTATTGCAAATTTGGTGATACGAGAATTAGAAAAAAAAATAGCCGTTAGATTTTGAAAATTGAAATATATATTCCGTCATAGCTTATGCCGACGGTAAAGTTTAAACAAGTGTAACGGCATTGAAATTGCATTTTCTTCACAATCATTTGTATGCGTTCGTAGTTAGATACCTGTCAAAACGTAAAAAATTAACATTTTTAACCTTTTTTCCTATTCACAATTATTACATTTTATTTTACAGATCAAAGAAAAAGAACACAAAACAACTAACAAGACCACAGTCTGTTGACCAAAGAACTGAGGTGGCAAATCTTGAAAGTAGTTCATCCAGTACAAATAAGAAAGGAAACACTATTCTTTCTGCGAACAACTTTTTAAATACTGACGAGGCACAAGGCGAGTACTTTGTTCTCGATCCATCCGTGACGAAATATGATAAAGACTTGGTATTACCAGAGGTTAAAAGAATCAGTGTTATACAGGGTGACGAGAAAGTTTACAATGAAATTGATGAAGATAAAATCGAATCCCCAACAGATATGAAGGTAGATCACCACAAGCAAATAGAAGAAGCAAGGGATACAGCTATTTACCATGCTGATCTGACCAACAATCAAAACCAATTAGGGTTTGGCAATAAAACTTACAATGTGACAACAGAGGTAGACGATCAAATCTACTAGGACCCACAAGAAAAGACGGAAATGTATATTTGTGTTCATATGTATCATACAAAAATTGTTAACTTTACCATTTTGTCTATGTAAAGTCTAAGATTCTTTGACATTGTTTGCTATAATGACAATCAAGAGCCATTTTCAATAGATTTGTTTACGAAGAAAAAATATACTTAAAGCCAATTTGTTTGGCGGAATCATTATGAATTTTATCATTGTCAGGCAAAAATTTTTGAAAACTTTTCCTATTATTTATTTTGGACTTGATAGTAAAGCTTACTTAACCTTTATTGACATTTATCCTTATTTTTTGACAATCTGTTTTTCAGTTTACATCTGCTTTAATTTGCATACTAGTCCCATGTAGATACAACCAAAAAGAGCTAAAATGATACAGAATTTACTCAAAACATGTAACGCATATTAAAAAAAAATCACTGTTCGGAATATTGTTTACATTATATTTTTGAATAAAAGGATTTTAAACAACTTGTTCGTTTGATTCCTGATAATTTTCCACATTGTTAAACGTTCTATTGATTTCCTTAAATTTCCCACAACCATGTCTGGTCTTCTCCGACGCTTAACACAGACGTATTGTTTCTAGCAACGATGTCACAATATTGGAAATCATTTTAAAAATATAAGATGGTCCTATTTTGTTTGAACGCTGTGGTGATCATACAGTGTAATAAATGGCAATGTCAGTTTCAGATCAAGTTAGTCTCAGAAAATGCACATATCTCTCATAGTCTCAAGAACCGAAAGAAGACAAACAGATTTGCCCGTGAGGATGATACAGCCCTTCCATTACAATTGCATAGGAAACCGATATCAGTTCCTGTATAAGCCTTTTTGCGTGACAAGTGCTCCTCCTTTCATTCAAATTCAGCAATGTAATAATTAGAAAATATTTGATAATAATGAATATAGTGTTTTAAGGTTTTATGATCTAATGTGAAACACGGTACAGGTGTACAAGATAAATTGAAAATGACTTTGACTTACTGGAGAAACACGACCATTCCCTGATCAAGAATTGATTGCTATTGAGAACAAAAGTCGATTCTTCTTTGTCTAAACCAAAATCAATCATATTGTTTCTGATCAATACAAAAATAAGAACATGCATGTGTTAATCAACTTTCAAGGTTACAACTATAAAAATTGTGGTCAATGTGACATAAACCCTGCGATAACGGTATATAATCAATTAACGTCTTTGAGTGCTCATATTTTATTTTACTGTACTACGATATTATAAGTATAAACCCTTGTGCCACAATGACGACAACGCGGACAACGCAGGATAGTAATTCTTAATCAATTGGTGAATAAGTACTTCTAATTAAAAAATTCCAACTCTAACCGTATCTCCCATGTCAGAAAATATCGTGCCTTATTTTATCTACCTTAATAGGTTTCAGGATGAAAAAAGCAAATTGGGCTAAAAACATGTACAATTCATGGCACCTTGGTGCAATGTTGAACGCAGAAGAAAAAGAACGACGCATCCGACAGAAAGATTTACTTTCTCTTGCTGATGGTTAAATAATATCTCTGTTTCCCAAGTTCATAATGTCTGTCAAGAAAAGATTGTGAAGAATATAAAAGTGATCGGTTTTTTCGATTATCACTTCAATTCAAAAATATTATGAAATTAATGGAAACATAGTTCGCTGCTTTCGGATATAAAATTCAACAGCATTAAAAATTGCGTTAGCAACACTATGAGGCAAAAGGTACAAAAGGGAATAGGATTTTTTGAACGACAAGCACAGGTCATTCAAAAAAAAAACAGAGACCATGTTGTGGGAAAACGGGTTTCTTGGGTGTGATTATCCAGAAATTTTGTTTCATACCATGTTTTGGACAATACGTATAAACTTTGGTCTCCGAGGTGGTTAAGAACATCGCGACCTCTAGATCTGCATAGAAAACTTTAAATAGGAAAAAGCAGATAATGGCGAGCAAGTTTTGGTAGATAGGGAAACAGTGTCCAAAACTTACAGGGGAGGACTTGACTACATGAGTATTGATCCACACATGGCCAGAGCATTTGACAATTGGCAACAACCAGGTGTCCCGTTACCATAGTTCAGACCTTCATCAAGAAGAAAGAACAAACAAATCCTTGTATTTCCAGCCCACTGCGTGCTAATTGATATCGATACCATACGTCACCCTTAAATATAAAAAATAAGAAGATGTGGTATGAGACAACCCTCCACAAGAGACCAAATGACACAGAAATTAACAACTATAGGTCACCGTACGGCCTTCAACAATGAACAAAACCCATACCGCATAGTCAGCTATAAAGGCTGTTAAGCTATGTTTCTAATCTTTGTGGTGGAATTGGTTCTTTCTGAGGGAAGATAGCAGGTGGAGAAAAAAGACGTACTTGATGAGTTTAGAATTGTGGGGTCAGTGAACTTTGAGTCGGATCCAGTGGGTGTGGTATATTGACCGAAAGTACATTTATAGTACCCACAGTGTGTTGACTGGTGTACACTTGTTCCTTTCACTCCCAATTCTAGAAACAGTCCAAATTTCAGTCTGTTTTTCTCTCATCTCTTTTTGAAACTATTCGTATGCACAATCCTCTGTACTATTAAGATTTGTTGTTTCATCTGAACAGAATACAAAGCAGCAGTCTTTTCTAAATAGCAATGTATGATTTAGAATAAGGGGATGTTGTTTGATTGCAAACGAGACAACTACCCACCAAAGACCAAAGGACAATGATCGTGTCTGTTTTTCACGCATTTTTTTTCCATCTTGGTGTAGATAACAGTGTCGTTTCAATTTGTGAGTCATTTGTCAACCTCGTAACGTTTAAATTTAGTTTGTGTTAGGTTCGTTGGTCATCAACATGTTTTCGTGTTCTGAAGTTTCATGTGACGTTTATATACCTGAATAGATTTTATTCTCCTTTCAAGCAACTTCTGGGTTGAGAAGTTTGATATTTCAAATTGTCCCACTCATGACGTTTAAAAAGTTTTAAAAGTGTGTGCAAGATTTGTTGGTCATCAACATATCAACATTTTTTCGTGTTGGTCGATTCCGGTGGAGTTTCTTACCCTTATATATTATATTTAATTTCTTTCAAGCACCTTTTCACTTAGGAAGTGTGTGTTTTACAATTTGTCACACTCATGGCGTTTATGATTCGTTGATCATTAATATGTTTTTGTGTTGTGACGTTCCTGGTAAAAAATACAAACTACGGATCAAACTTGATTGTGATTAAACGGTACAGCCGGTTACCGCTGGTGGAGCGGCTGTACAATTGATTAGCCACCCAAGCATACGCAGACTTTAAGCGACAACGAATGTCGACGTTGTAGCTGGTCTCACTGAATTGACTTGACGTGCAAGACTTATTGTAAGCTA